CCCTAACTATTCTATGATTCTATGACTGTCCTGGCTTCATGCTTTTCACAGAGAGGATATGGGACTTGCCACAAGGCACCCACAAAGCTGGTAAATTAGGGAAAAGCAATGTAAAATGCTTCAACGATTCAGGTCCAACTACAGAACACTTTGTCACAGAGGAGTATTTCCACATACAAATCAGGGGTAACAGATTATGAAACATACAGGAGTCTTACCGTAAAAACAAGTACATATGTCAGTCTTGACAGATCTCTATTACGTACCGATTTTAATCCTTACAAATAAACAGGAAAACCCCATGAAAAACTACTTACTTCAGACAATACATTAGCACCAGCACTTACCCTGTTGAAGAGGCTGTGTATTCGTACTGGGACTTTGACTGGCCGACTGGGTTGAACTATTGGCTGTTGTGGCAGTAACAAGTCTGACATAATGGAACTTGCTTCCAGGTACCTGAATTTGCTGAACATTGGGTGCAGTTGCCAGGGGAATAATTGTCTTAAATTGAGATGTGCCCACTCCTCCTACAGTAATGGTCTGCACTGCTGATTTCACAGCCTGTTAAGCCAACACAGACAGCACAAAGTTACTTGTACAAAGGCAGAGGGAATGTCAGCAGGTTTATTCCTAGGTTGTTACTAACTCTTTGATCCATTTGTATCCTTGAGAAGCAAGTTATCCCTACTTTTTCTTTCAGAAGTAAAATGGATACAGGGAGACTAAATGTCTCTCAGCAGCTCAGAGGAAACTCAGTTCCATTTTCAATGCTCTACAAGAAACACCAGAATAAACTAATATTTACATGAGTAGGGTGACTCAGTCCACTTCCCCAGATACAATGTCTGCCAAAACCACTTCAGGTGACTACAGATAACATTGCTCAGTTTGTATTTAAAAAAAAAAAAAAAAAAAAAAAATCAAGCCTAGAAATATATTCCTACTAATAAAAACACATGGTAGGAACTCGCAGAACTGTTAGTGTTGGACTGTGGCATGGTTTATCACTGTGTGTATAGATACATCCTGTTAAGACAGTTTGCGACTAATACACAGAAATCACTGTGCAGCCCTTGAGAAGGAAACGGAACAGCATCCATAAACTCACAGCTGAAGACATGAGAAAGACGGTACCAGCTGAGAAATGAAAGAAGCAAGAACAATGTAGAGTAAGAAAACAAATCTAAGGAAAAAAGCAAAGAGGGGAAAGAAAGGGAGTTTAGCAGACCTGTGCTTCCTCATAGCTGCAATTCAGTATGTCTGGAATGTGCATCTTTCCACTCTCAAACTACAAACTGATAACAAGTGTTTATTTTATTTACACACATTCGTAAATCTACCAGTTTGATATTGGCCTCTTTATCCAGCCTTGCTGACAACCTGAAACCTTGGTTTATTCCTCCTTTTTCTCCTTCCACCCAACTTCTTTTGGAGCTCAGCTTTTTATTCTCAGTATCTTTTAATCTCAATATTAAACCTATCACTGTCCTTGGTATTAAGTTTTAGTATTAAATTTAGTTGATAGTATGATGTGACTTCATATTAGGAATTTTTCCCAGCTCCCCAGCTTTCAGCAGATACACAAATGAAATCTCAATTTGCACATATTTCACTGGAAATAAGCCCAGTGTTTAAAAAGAAGGTGCTTTCTTGTGATTTTTTTCTTTTATATAGTAAAACCTCAACAACCCTGAGCAATTCAAAATAAGCACTATCTATAAGCATAGTTACAGCTTAAGAGTTATCACAGGGAGACCAGTGCGGCCAAAGTTCCCTCTACCACACAAACTAGTGGCTGCCATCCAAGGACAACTTGGAAAATTGTAAAATTCAAATGCCACTTCTTCCAAGGGCATGCTCTTGAGCCCAGCAAAGACAGGTGAAACCATCACGTTGTGTCAGACAGTTCTCTATCAGAACTTGGTATGCATACCTCACAGCCACCCCTGTTTTTTCACTTTGTGTGCTTGTGTTAAGAGCGACTTAACCTTCTAAAAACTATTTTAATAAGACAATTTTGCTAATTTTACTCTGAAATAAATTCAGATCATACTTGTGTCCACATCCCCATATGAGCATTCCAATTATCACTCGTATTGGTAAGACGAGACCAGCAAAATCTGCCCAAGTCTCTGGTCTTGTGCTGTACATGCAACTGTACCCACTCCCTGCTATATCCACTCTGGTTATTTGTACTCATATGCATCACTTCATGTTTACCAAAACAGGAATGCAATCAAGTAAGATAGAAAAAGATTCACCTCAGATTACAAAAGAGGAAAAAAGTAAAAACTGTAGTTTGCAAGAAAGGTCAGTTTTGTCTAGTCATTCATTAATGCAAATCAATTTATAAACCCCATTTTTCTAGAAATGAGACACAGGAAATTACTTATTTTGAATTCTGTAGGTCTCAGATCATGACGTCTTGCTTACACAGACCTCTGCCATGACAACTGTTGCAAACCTCAGAAACACCTGGAAAGCAGCCTTAGTCAGTGGCACAGAAACACTGGTAGAAGAGATAGAACTACCCAAAGAACTCTTCCTCATGTCATTGTGAGCCTTTCAGTTGACTTGGGAGATTCGGTATACAGAGATGAGAACTTGCATCAAGTGGGGCTTTCCAGGCTGGAAAGCTGCTTTCTAACAGCATGTTCTTGCATGGCTTTGCAATGGTTTGCACCCCTTGACTGAAGATGCTCCTCTTTTTTGCACTGCTTTTGCTAGTTCTTAAGTAGATACCATTACAAGAACACCTTGGGACTGAACACTGCCCATTTGCGGTTCAACACTCGAATTTCCCGCAAGTGATGACACAGAGACATGCGAGAAGACAAAGGAAAGTCAGTCTGTACCTGGGCGGTTGTGTGGTTGACTATAGCCTTCCCAGGGGAGGAGGGCGCTGACTGCTGCACTGTGAGGATCTGCTGTCCTAACGCTACATTCAGTGGGACGCCCACCGTCTTCTGGGGGGAGTTGGGAGGCTGGGAGGCCACTGACACCACTGTTAGCTGCTTGGCAAAACAAAGAGGCAGTTTAAATCTCTGCAAGGGATACAAGACCCTGTACATATACATTCCCCTCCTCATGAAAGTACAGTTCTCCACCACTACAAAGAGTTCTTTCTGTGAACAAGGGCACTGTATTTAATCACGACTCACAGGGGTCCATGTGTGCAACAACAGCAAACATGTTAGAAACTTCAAGGAACTGCTGGTTTCCAGCACCAAAAGGCCCCTGCAGAAAGCCAGTACGGCTTCTGTTTTATTTGGTTTGGGTTTTTTCTCTTTGTTTGGGTTTTTAATGAAACCTGCCCACTGAAGCCAGAGCATTGCCAAGGATGTGTTTTCTGAATAACAGCTTTATAATCAGTACCATGACTATTTCATCATAAATTGAAGTTTTAAAGGAGAGCTATGGAAGAAAAAATAATTAAAGTCTCCCCTTACACTACTCACTCAGCCAAAGCATAAAAACATCAGTATTTTCAAATCTACTTTCCAGATTCTCACAGAAATCCAGTCTCTGACTGCATTTCTGCAGAATGCAGCATTTGAATACTCTATTCTATATAGCCACATCCCTTCCAAGTTTGGTTTTCTACTTTTTGTTCTATTACTTCCTTCTTCATATTTTAAGAAAAATTCCAATTTTTGAAACCATTTGTTTTTGAAAGATATTTAAAATTACTTATTCACAGTAAATAAATTCAGAGTAAAAAAAATGTAACCATAAGGAGTCTTTTCACCCCACTCATTATTAATCTTGATTCTAGTTTTTTTTGCTTTAAATTTCTTGCTCATGTTGCTTCCCTCAGTAATAACTCTCAAACACAAGTCCTTCATTCCATTTGCATAACAATACATAGCTAAAGCATGGCCAAACTAAGAGAATTCTTTACTCTTATGCTAGTTTTTACATATATTTAGTTTGTATGCACCATGCATCTTCCCCTGACCTGACTCTTCCTTTTTCCAGAAATATTCCTCTTCTCAAGACAATTTTATCAAGCCTAAAATACCAGCATCACCATGACACTCATCTGTAAGGGAGCTTACAATAGATAAATTATCTTTCCTATCTACTTCCCACTTGTGCCAGTCTCCAGCTCTGTATTTGTCAAGGATCACCACAAATCTCTCTCACTTCAGGCATGATTAGGGAAGACTAAATTATCTATGTAGTAGCAGGCAGTGGTTACTATGTTCTGACTTATTAACATCATTGAGGTCTCCTCTTAAACAGCCTGTTGACATTTTATGAAGGCATTAAGAAAAAAGACAAAAACTCTCAGCAGTTGGCTAAGAGAGAACAGCTGCTCCTCGAATGGATGCTTAGGGAACGGCAAGAAAAGTTAGGAATGGGAACTTGATGCAGTAATGCATATTTACTTAAAACCACAGTAAGGAAGCCAACTGCAAAAAATTTAGCTTAGGCCATTACTGCAGAGCATTATGATGCACAACAGAGACTCAAATGCATTATGGCTTGCGATAGGAATAGTGGGGTCATAAACAGCTTGTAGCAAAGACACAGAGAGCTCCATTCAGACCATTGTGCAAGACAGATAGAAGGCTGCAGCCAGAATCAGGACCTTACCTTATTAGGGGATTTGAGTGGCGAGATAGCTATTTTATTTGGTGTCTGTTGTGTTGTCGTACTCAAAGATGATCCAATGACTCCGCTTTCAGAGATAGTTATTGTCTTTGGTGGTGTTCCTGGAGCAGACTGTGAAAGAACCCTACCTATAAATAATGAAGATACCATCAGCTCAAGTTATTCCTGTTTACATTAACTTTTAAAGCAAAGTTTTCTCTGCGTATTGTACAATTGTTAATGCTTCAGTGAGCATATCACCTTGTAGGAAAGGACATCAGCAAAATTTAGCAACAAACAATAGCTGGCATTATTGCAAATAAAAAGACACTCCACTTGGTCTTAAAAACCCCCCAAACATACACTGATCTTTCTGTGATATTAAGTTGAAAATTCTTTAAGGCCAGGACAGCATCCCGAGGCGCACAGCCCTCCAATACCCCTGTGCTGTGCCCAAACACCCAGCCAGCTGACAGTTTCCTAGGAACCTCCTGGGCTAATGCCAATGTACAGAAAAAACTGAGCATCCTTTTAAATCCTCAGCCATCAGAAATGAGCTGTGTTACAGTGACCAAAAAAAAAAAAAAAAAAAAAAAAAAAAAGTGTTTGGTCTGTCTATGCTCAACTTTACTTTTTTTTGTCTCCTCTGTGTTGGTGTTTTTTTCACTGCCTAACAGAATATATGACACTTCTATGAAAATGTGGGTGGTGGTGTAACTCTACACGCTATCTGCTTTTACAACAGCAAAACAGGTTAAACGTCAAACCCAGCAGCTCCAATCATGAAAGGTCTTAGGAATATTGCAAAACTCTCAGTGTGGAAAACAGATTTGCCTCAATTATCATTATTTTATTATTATTTTTCATACTTGCAGCTTGACCACTGACAGGTTTGCTCTGCTGCACTTCAGCTCAGACTCGTTTCTGTTACAGCTTCTCTGTCACCCATTCTCTTTGCACTACTTTTATCAAAACAAGAAACAAACACCAGCATAACTTCCATCCAAACCCAGTCAATTGGCACAACAATTAAGTCAACTAGAACTAACAAGAGACAGCATCATCCTTATGGAAAGCTGCCTTCCTCTGAAGTCTATGTGCTCTAAACCAACCTTCACTTTAGTGCAACCTAAGTAGCAGCTGCTGGCAACTATTTGCTCTGTTAAGTCACATGCAACACGAAAGATGTCAGTCTGTGTGAATTTTACCATTTACTGTATTCAATACTTTCTGAGTTTGTTTTTTCTTGGTGACAGCTTTCCCTTTCTCACTATGTCCCCTCTGTACCCCTTGGCATCATGTTCCTAAACAGAATCTGGGTGCTTATATTGACAAGTCTTTTAAATTTACAACTTTCACCTCAGTTTGCAGAAATTCCAGAGCAATTAAAAATTTATCAGATTCATAAAAGCCTGCATACAAAAATCAAAACACAACACACAAATGTAACACCTTCCCCAAAATGATGCCAGCCTCTAAAGCTGGCAAACTGTGCTGACTGTTTAGGATGGCAAGAGGAAAGGCAGATGTTTAAAAAGATTTCTCTCTCCATTAGAAGCATCTTCAGCTCCCAGGTGATGCTTCTCTCACAGGCTCAGGAACCTGTACTCTTGATTTTCCAAGATTTAAAAGCTGGAAATTTGTTTATTTTGTAACATACCTGCTTGTCAGTATTATGTAGGTATGTTTTGCTATGGACATTTCCTTTCAGTCTGGAGGCAACAAACTTAAAAACATGCTCTCCCTAGTACTACTTTTGATGTGGTTCCTTATTGCTTACCAGTTTTCATGTACTGCCAGATGAAAATGTAATGCAGCTTCAAATGGCTCATTTCAAGGTTTTTAATGTCTTTTTTCTTTTGTTAGTTTGTTGTTTGTTTTGGTTGTTTTTTTTCAAATACACAAACAGCTGAACTCATATTTATAAACACGGTGAAGCAATCTTCTCATTCAAAGGTCTGTACATTTAGTGTGGAATTGTTTCAGAAAGCAGCAAAACTGGGGAGTGGGAGAGGGAATCCCTCTTTCACTTGAAACACAAGTCAGGCTTCAGGGTGCAGGCAGCCTGACAACTTAAGGAAATGATTATATTTCAGTCATGTGCCCATCAACATTTTGAATAAGGAGACAGTTGCATTCTTTTTAAACCAGCTCAACTCCCAGTTCTTAGAGGCTTAAAAAAGTCATTTGAATATGTGGAAAAGATTTTAGGCCTACTTGGTTCAGTCAATATGGAAGCAGTTGGAGACATCCTTCAAAGCCCTGAAGATGATTCTGGCTTCCTACATTTGTCCTTTTCAGATAATTTAGACATGTCTAAGATGTTATTGGCATACATGCAATGATGCATTTCACAAGGAACACATCAGTCCCACTGCCATAATAAATGATTGCACTGTGGGATTTTTTTCTTTAAAGGAACACAGATTTGTTTTCCAAAGAGACAACCCATTTCTTATTTGCCTTAATTATTTTCTTAGACTCTTCTGCAATGCTTGTGTTTAAGTAGGTGAGCAACTTAACAGAAATACAGATTTTTTTCCACTTTTTTCCACCCAAACATTTTTCCTGTTATTTGCACGTATCACATTTAACTCCAACAAAAAGCAGATTAAAGTAATGCACGAGCATGTGTCTCCTTTTCCCCCCTGTGTATTTACATAATGTATCTACGAATACTTGTTTTATTGAGTAGCCTTTTCCATGGTACTTTTTTCTCCTCCCCAAGATCTGGAAAGTAAACGTATCCTACAGTAAAAGCAAAATGATCAATTCCACAATCACAAAGATAATTCTAAATGAGTGTAAAGGTACCAACAACTACATTTACCTGCTTCTACCCACAAACTCTCTGCTGATTTCCCCCTGAATTGCTTGAGATACTTTAACAGAAACTGCAGTAAAACCGTTGAGACAGAAAAAATTTCTACAATCATCATCTCTCTGAACAGCTTTTAAAAAATGGTAAAGCAAAACAAGTCAAACTAGTACAACCTGCAATGACTGGTGACACTTGAGTGGTCTGCCCTGTAACAGCTTTGCTATTGATTGGCTTTGCAAAGATCAGCTTGGTGATCACTGGGCCAGAAGTTGGGGTTCGGGTCTTCTTTGCGATCTGAAAGGTAGAGGAAAAAAATAAATCCAAACTAACTTGAGAATTTTGGATCTAAATTACTGTATTGTCAAGTACATTAGAAAATAGAAAAGGCAATACTTGCACACATAATTAGAAGAATAATTACATATCTCACATTTCACGTCCATGTCTCACTATGGAGAGAACTAGGATATCATCCACACCGCTTTAGAAAACCAGCCACCCAAGCAAGATAGCCAAATCCCTTACAGCCTTTTTGTAAGGTACCTCTCTGTGCAAACACCTTCAAGATGCTGAAATAATTTCTTACATATCATTGGTGAATGTTAAATGCACAACTCTCAATATTTGAAACCGTAAAAGTTACTCCTTTTCAGCCAACCATGACAAAATTTGTTAAGTTATTTAAATATGATAACTAGTGGTCTGAACCATCTCTTGACCTATACTGACATAGCAGCACACTTCTACCTTGCAAATGGGGAAACAGCCTTCTGCAACAGTTCTCAAAATATGTGGATCATCAGTCCCTGAAAGTTTTGGGTCCTCACTGGTCAGGAACAAATCAGCTACATCCAGGTACAAGGGTTGTTTGTTTTTTTTTTTTTATTCTTGTGATCCAATCTCCTCAAACACAGCTGGCCCAGGAACACGTAACATGCAATTTAATGTGACAGATTGACTTGAAATTTGTATAAGCAGGGTTTTTTTTAGTCTTAAAAGTCTTAAGACTTTTTTCCATTTTCCACACTGACAAAAATTAATTACCAGATGCATTTATCCTAATAGTTTCTATACCACGGCATCCAGCTGGTTAATAGTTCAATTAAGAGGTTGACTTCTTTCAAAGACTGTTTTAACCTGTTGACTGCAGAGGCTCCTGCTGATGCAGACTATCTCTAGGATCCTCCTCAAGTCCAGGTGAGCCCTGGAAGGTATTACTGAAGCCCTTACACTTACCCAGCCCAAAGGCCAGGCCCACACTGCCTCTCCTCCACCACACAAACCAGTCACGTCTCGTGGGCACCAGCTGCCAACTCAAGCAATGTCAAAGAGGCATAACATGGGCATCCATGTGGCAAGCAACCTCCCAAAGGCGCAGAACCACCTTTGTTACTCAAGTAACTAGCTGGAGAAATCTCACTGATATACAAAGATACAGAGATGACAGCCTGAGAAAGTTGCAAGTGCTTAAATGAAGCAATTGAGCAGGCTGAATGTTATGGTTTCCTACACAAAACCCTGTTTATAGAATTTGCTGACTGAAAATACCTCCTTTACAGTAGAGTAACACCAAAACATTTGAAGTATTTGGTAGCACATAAATTCCTCAGCTGCCCTGCAAAGAGGGCAAATGAGGCTGTTTCAGCTCTCAGCAGCACACTCACAGCACAGACAGGGAAGTCAGGGCTCCCTCATGCTATGGCACTGGAACCCTCCAGTCTGCCGTCGAAAGCCAACACCACCTCTGTATGCCTGAGCTGTGCCCAACCAAGGGAAGCCAGCAATGAGCAGCTCTGACACCAGGCAGTGCTAGAAAACAGACCTTGTTTAAAGAAAACCATGTGCTTCTTCACAGTTAGAGGACAAGTAAGCAGCCCTCAGAGGAAACCTCTACCTCAGGTGAAGGTCATTTACCCTAAATATGCTGCACTTAGGCCACATTAGCTGCTTTATAGGTGACATATAATAGTCAAGGCTTAAAATGAAACAAGAAAAAAAAAAAAGCCACTCTTTTTGGAGATGTATTAACTAAAACCTTGAAACATAAGTTGTTTGAAGAAGGAAGCTTCATTACAGCCCAGTCTGCAAATTTAACTCAAAGCCATTTTAACATTTCAAGGATTCAGTTCTCTTAGCACATGGCTGATAGGTGAGCAGGCATTCTATCAGCAAATATCTTTGTAAATTTGCACACTTTCTAATTTCTGGTAAATTCCCCACATTTCATGTGCTTGTCATTTTTGTTCTGGTGAAATTCATCTTAGCCTGTCATAAGGTATTATTGTAACTCAACTGCTATTGCTTTTGCTCTCTGAAGCAAGGGCAAAGTCTGGCTCAGAATATGATCAACATCCAGCAGGAACAGCAAGCTCTGGGCAACAGCAGTCGTTTCCCAGTAACAGTCAGTAAGTGTGTTTAAATGACTTACGTGAGTACATGTAAAATACTAGCCACCTGTGAACATGAAGTACTTCAGAAAAAAATTCATGATCCTAAAACAATAGCTGGTCACTGCAAGTAGCCCTGCTTCCCTCAGACTCAACTTGCAATATCCTCCTCAGATAAATTCCCTCCTGCTTTTGGGGTAAACTGTCTACAAACAATAGGGTCTAACAAATGAGTGAGTCTCTTCAGGGCTCAGGAAACATGGCAAAACTCAAATGTGGTTGGTTACAGGTGAGGAATAGCCCTTGGCCCCCAAGTGCAGGCCATGTAATCCTACCCTTACTTGCTGCCAAGCAAGCCTTTCTGAGGTTTTTGCCACTGGAGCTTATAACCCCAGCCACATGTGAAAGCCTTCTAGACATCAGTGGGAAACATGCAACCTACCTCAGTACAGACGGGAGAAACCAGAGGAAATAAGATGACAGACTGCTCCTTTGATACTTCAGAAAGAGCAAGTTCTCTGGAGCCTTTTGCCATTGCCTGTACTAATCACAAGAGGCTTAATATTATTCCTCTGCCCATGCAATTAAGATTGCAAAAGTATTTCACGGGGCATCAAGCTCTCCCATAAGAAAGTTATTAAATCTAGAAGCACACACCAACCTCCTTCTCCTTTCAGAAGAGATTTATCTGCAAGCACCTTTATTTAAAGGAAAAATTCATGTCTTCCTAAGCACTCTTCACAGAACAAGATGAACTAGCAAGTTTCTAGAGCCAGACTTTGCTTTCCATTGTTAAATCGTGTTCTGCTCATACAGAAAAAGGAACATGCATACCTTGCATTACTGCTGGATTGAATACCCATATAGTCAGTTACCACAAAGGAGCTAACATACTATAAATCCACGCCCTAGATGATCTCATGGCAGCTTGTCCATGTAACCACACCCTATGTCATGTATATTTGGCATAATATGAAAAATCATGGACTCTAGAAATAGGAGAACAGTATACTTCAAAGAAGATTATGAAATTGAGCTAGGAATAGGAGTTTGCTCTGAGGTTAGGAAGCGCATGAGGTCACTTTCCAAAGATGAGATAAAGTAAAAATGATGGCTTAGCAACCAGTTGTCTTGCCATGTTAGCAACAATACTATGGAAACATAGGTTTAACTACTAAATGCAGAGGCAGTTACCACATCAAGACAAGTTCAAGTTAGACTAGCTTAGTGACAGCAATGGCGATGAGTCTGAAAATCTGGTTGAGAGGCGCCTGCAAGGTCAAACTCCTGCTTAATGCACTTGAAGTAGTACACCAGCAGGCACATCATTATTTTTAAAGCCTGTACACAGGCAGGATCCACTAGCTGAAAGCAGATGCACTTGCCCAGTAGTTTTGTCCACACATCCAAGGCAGTGGTTTCAACTGTATCGGGACAAGCTGCCAAGAGACAGTAATAAACCTCTGGATACAGATGAAGCCCATGGTCCTGTCACATTTTACACCTCACAGCCTCATACCTCTAAAATTGTAGTCAGAGAAGCCAGATTCCAGGGAACATTTGCTCAGCTCTTATCAATTATAACTTTTCTCAAGTGCTGAGATTTCAAATGTCACAATTAAACTAGAGCAAGGCTAATTGAGTTTTTCTAATGACCGGCAAAGCCCCTGCAACAGTGCTGATGTAAGGAGAACTGAAGAGAGCTCTTTGTCAACTTATCTTCTACCAATTCACTTTTCAACACCAAGTCCAATTGTTGTGTTGCCTTCCATCCAAAATACCTGATTCACACAGCCACAAGATACACAAGACCACTGGGAGGCGGGAAGGTATTCACAGCTTCCTTTTTCTACTCACTGAAAGGTTAAGAGGCATGTTCAGGATGATGGGGTGAATGCCCAACTTCATTGTCTAAGCCAGGGACTTGAGGCATGTCGTTCATTATAGGGCAGACCATGAATCTCTCACCTACCTTCATATATCCCTCTCATACTTTACTTTTCCCTATAATTTGTTACAGGGAAAAGCACCATCTGGGAAGTACTAATGTAATAATCTTCCTGCAGTATCATGTACTTATAACCAACCGAAGATTGCCTTGCTTTTCATTTCTACTTTCTCCCCTCCTTATAGGAGGAAAGGAATGATGGGTGTTAACAATACAATCTGTTTTGCAAATGCAAGCAAAGGTTTTATAAAAAGAGACCACAACAAAACTAATTTACTCAAACTGTAATTAACTAGATGCAAATCCATTTGTAACAGTTTCTATTAAGGACCCTATAGAATTCCTAATGACAAACAGCAGAGGTCAATCATAAAGTTACTGTATTTCAGTCACTGATGACACAGGCAATCTCACACAAGCAAAAGCATATCACAGCTAAGCCATTCTCCTTGGTTTCCTCTATTTCTCACTTGGCAGTGAGTAGCTGAAGCCAAGAAACAGGAACTGATCCACTCTTAAACATTCATATTTTGAGTCAGAGCAGAGGCTCTTTTGAAAGCTAGAATGACAACCACATCATTAATGACCAAGGTACAAAAATGAAAAGTCACTTAAGAAAATTGATACATTTCAAAGCCATTATTAAACACATTTTCCACAGGCATGATGTAGTGACAAGAAAAGGAAAATTGGTTCAAGGATCATCTGCAGCTTTAAAACAAACCCTCTTGAGAGTTGCTCACATTTGCTTGCCATGAAATACTAGTTGGGGAACTTACCATTCAGCTAATAATATGCTTAGAAGTTTGTAATTTTTCATGAGCAGCAAATTATTTTTTATAGGCATACTTGAGAGTTTGATTTCTCACTTTGTTTAGACAGTAAAATAAATATTTTTCCATTATAACCTGCATCAAGTTCTATTTTTTCCTTCACTTTCACAAGGTCTTATTTCTGCCAACTGGAACAAAGACACTCACATTTAATTCTGCCATATACCAGATGAAAATCAGACCCTTTGAGTCATAACTCAAGTCTTTTCAAAACATTTTCAGATCCCAGCAGATTCTGTGATTTCAAATATCTCAAGATCCATGCCAGAGATTGGGGACAAGACCTTGAAGTGTCCATCTTACAGCAGCATCTAGTCTATCAGTATCTAGTAACAAGCTTAACTAGATTTGAGGCAGACAAGATTGACCTTTCTGTTCTTTTTCAAATGCTGGCAAGTTTTTTCAGAGAGTTTATTTAAACAGATTAAATGTAATATTAGAAGCTACTATTTCATAAAGGAGTAATGCAGTATACATTTTGAATAAAGAACAGGCATATAGGGTTCAATTCAGTCTTCCTGAAAGCATGTAGAAATTTTTTATAAAATTACAATAATGGGAAAATTCTCTTCAATTTACTCAATTTTAATAGTTCGCTTTCTCAAAGGCAAATCCTAAGTTTCTAGACAGTAGCTAGAGGTAAAGGGCATAAAATGGTAAACGCATCCACAGATGAAAGCACGGGCTAAGAGCAGCATTGTATTTGTTAATATGAGGAATAAACACAATAGCTGAAAGCAACCACTTGTCAGTTTAGTGAAGGAAATGGACCACATCTGCAGCAACAAAATTGTTTTTAGTGTTTTTCATCAGCACAACTCACTTTACCTGTACTGTTTTTAATTGCTGGGTCTGCAAAACAGAAGGCTGGGACGTAGTGTTTACCAGCTGATTTCCTTGCGTCAAAGATGAGACACCAACAACAGGTTTCACTTCTGATCGACCTCCAATAACAACTTTGATCTGCTGGCCTTGTACCTTGGAGTCTCCACCTTGGGCTTGGGACACAGCCTTCTGTGCTTGTGGGAGCTGGTTGTGGGGTAATGCTAAAACAATAGGCTGGCCAGACTTGCCCAAAGTTGTTACAATTAGTTTTTGCCCATCTGGTTTAATATTCTGATTGCCTATTTTAATATCAGCAGTCTTGTTCAGAATAATTTGATTGGCTGATATAGTGACAGGGGTCTGAGCACCAAGTTTATGGAGGCCACTTGGAAAGGTAGGCTTTACTACTGCATTCACATCAGTTTTTGGGGTTGTGTTCACTGTCGTGTTGCCTGAGTGATTGCTGGGTGTGGTAACTGATTCTGTGGTGACTGTGGCTGTGGTTGTAGCTGTGGAGTCGCTGGTGGAGCTTATGCTCACTATTTCTTCCAGTTCTGTTTCCATGGGAATAGAGTCTCCCATTGGCGACGACACGATAACCGCCTCGATGCTGTCGTCTTCCACCAGAGTTATACCGGTGTCCATTATTTCCTCAGGAAGCAAGCTGTTGACTTCCGCTGAAACCACCTCCATTTTAGCAGTTGTGGCAGTGATGACCGGAGCAGGTACTGCAACATTTTAAACAGTTATTGGCTTCCAGAAAACATATATTTTCAAAGCTTTATGAATAACACTACCAAAGAAGAAAATACAGTAGGAGAAATTTTTTCAGACTAAAGGTATTCTGCATGCACAGAAGGGATATCATGGGGAAAAAAAAATAGTTATCAAAACATAACACATAAAGATATCATGGAGAAAAAAAAATAGTTATCAAAACATAACACATTCAGCTGAATTTACTCTCAGAACTTATATCAAACCTCTTCAACATCATCTGTAGCAAGGCACTGACTTGTGGATTACCAGTTCACTCTTGTCAACGCAGTACACAGAGTAGTAATTGTGTCCACCCTGCCCCCAAGAAACAGGCACCTTGTTTGCAGACATTTAAGCCTACTGAAATATAAAGCAAGAGCTAAACAGCTTTAAAATTCTAACAAATGATAATGGCTTTTCTCATACATGTCAACACTGGTTGTCATGCAGGTTGTCTAGCCTCAAGAGGCTTGTTGTTGATACCTGGTGTAATGGCATCATTTTTTGGAAAATCCTCACTTTGGAAATCTCACAAAAACAAACAGCTGTCTAGTGATGCTTTAACACCCCCACAAGCTCAATCAACAGCCCACCTACCCTAGGACCACACCAATTCCTGCCCTTCCAAGATGAACAGATAATTCCCCTATCCTGGGCATGAAAAGAACAGATCAACATTTTTTTCCTCACTACTCACAAGAAAAATATAATGCCTAAACATGAAGTGTGTTCTAAACACAAAACAATGAACAACCCCTCTGAAAGAAAACAGAACTTTTTAAGCTGACCAAGTAAGAGCCACCTATTTTTATACATATATAAAAAAAAAAAAACCAAACCTTCAGCAAGATTCAAAGCCATAGTAACTTCCCACTTAAGAAAACTTAAAGACACTGCTGGAAATGGTCATATCTACCATTCCCACTAAAACTGTATAACTTTCAGAGGCTGAAAACTGATCAGCTTAATAAGGTGCTTTCCCCACTTGCTGATGCCATCAGCACACTTGGGCACTGGACAGGAGGGCACATTGAGTGGGTATGCGTACGTATTGGAGTACTCATTGTAAGCTCAAGAGGACAAGATCCTTGCAAATTAAGTTTCCTACTTGCTAAGAAACACAGAGCTGAGTTACTCATACTTAGCAACATTTACAGTTAAGGAACTGTGCCACTAAAAACACTAAACAAATGCTGAGGTGACACCGATTGTCCGGAGTCATTGTGATTCCATTTTGCACAGCAGCTAACTACAGCTGTGTTTCACCCATGAGGTAGGAGGATGGGGAGAAAACCCTTCTATAAACTACCTTACTTCCATGCCAAGCTCAGGAGGCTGCTGAGCAGTTCCTGTTTCTTGGCAGCCCCGTGGTCTTCCTGATCATGAAGGGTGCCATCCTGATCCCCCTCACCTCCAGGGTAAAAGCCACATCAAACAGCCATGATACTCAAGAAGCCAAGCCATGAAAGAAATCATCCAGATGACTGACAAGTCAAACACACAGCTCACTTATTGGCAGGCATTTAAAGATACAAAGTTATCTGATGTCACTGCCAGAAATACTTCCTTTGGAAAGCATTTGTCCCAAAGTAATGCCAGTACAGCTAGCAGTGATACCAGGCCTATTAACTAGCACTAGACAAAACAGTTTACTCCTAAGCACGCACTGGTAATAGTATCACACTGCTTTCAAAGTCAAATTGGTTAAAGGCATATCAAATTTCACAGATTCTTGGTATATTTTAACAGTATGGCCACAAAGTATTTACATCTATTTAAATATATTCTACAGTTCAACAGTTATTTATAGTCTTAATTCTTACAGTTACACAGCACTAAATGGTTATTAAATACCTCTAGTTGAAAGGATATTTATATTAAAATGCACAGAGTCAGGGTTTTAAATAGCATTCTGACTTCAAACAAACCACTTGAAGTCAGAATGCATAAGGAAAAGAAATACATTGATTACATCAAATTTGGAATCAGAAATTGACAAGTTAAAAGAAAAGAAACATTATGGCCATCACATTGGAGCATTTTTATAGCTGTTAGATCTCATCATTTTATAGCTGGCTTCCAATAACATATTCAGGCTCACATGATCAACAGCAGCAAGAACCACAACACAACCCACTTGTTCTGTTTCTTCATTGCATATTGGATATGACTGACATAGATACATGAAGTGCAACAATGCAAATCTCATCCCAGCTATAGGACAGGCAGCTGTCAAAAGCAGCTTCAACATCCCTGCAGATTTTACTTCCAAGTATTTAGCCAGGATTTCTCAACAGTTGCCGTTTTTTGTGTGGGCTTTCCCCCCTACTCCCCCGATACTTTTATACTAAACACACAGTTTCCATTTCTCTAGCTCCTCTACTAAAGCGATTTCCAACAGTAAAAGCATGCCAACCTCTTTTAAGATTCAAACAACTCTGAGATCTTTAAGACAGGGTAGAGAATTATTTTACCTATTAAAAAAAACTTGAAAGTTTCCTTCGCTTCAGCAATTAGACTTTAAGTAAGAGCTGCACCTACACCCCCCAGAAAAGATGCATTACTAGCTGTTTACACTCATTTAGCTCTAAACCTTAAGAAAAAACAATCTAAACCAAGAAAGTGGATAAGCATATACCAGAGGGGGAAGTCCCTCAAAATTCTAGGATCAGATTACTACATAGAAAAATTTAGCCCACAAAATAATGGCCATACAACTACATTAAATGCTCCAGAAAATACTCACATAATGAAGATTTGTTTAGAAAAAGACTAAGTTCCAGCATAGCTCAGGGCACGTAACCAGCCAAACACATATAAAGAAGTTAGGGACTAAAGCATATTGTCAGCAAAGTCTTGGAGCAACAACTTTGAAAAAATGCTAGGAGGAAGAAGCTCAGTTGAAGTGAAGCACCTCTGATCATCTTATCCATAGCACAGATCTCTGTATTTGATACTCACAAAGAATATACATATGTTGTCATAAAGGGCAAAAGGTGTTTTAAGGAAGAGGATAAAAAATGCCACTGTTATTGGCAAAAATACAGAATGGTGTCTGACAGGTACTTGTGAACTTTGATCTCTTTTTTCTTTTTCTGTCACTAGATGTCAGTGCAGAATCTTTAAGAAACTAACACTGTAAAGTGTTGGGATTCATTATACCACCACCTTTGTTGATAAAACCCCACAAAGCAGCCACACTAAACAGGAAAAAAAAAGCCAAAATAATCAATAAAGCATACTGATCTGCAAATAGGGAAGCAAAATGCAAGATATAACAATGCCTGTATTTTACAGTAAATAAATGCATCTTATTACATCTCCAGAAATGCCCCTATTTCACTAAGATAAGAATAGCTAACCTTCCAGTCCAAAACCATGAGCAGTTTGAGTGCAGCACTGACTACACTCAAATACGAGGATATGTTAAAAAATCATCAGTGAAGCTATGTATGCATTGCAAGGAACACTCTTCAGGAATTCAGAAATAATAAACACAGAAATAAGGCTGCTGAGACCAGCTTTACAGGATGGCCCGAGATGGTGCTGCATGTTAGCAAGATCATCACAATGAAGCAGTGGACCAAGGGACTTGTCACCATTTGTGGCCCCATTAGCAGTTCCCTTCCTGTTCACTTCTTAGTGCACAGCAGAGGCCTGGTGACACTCAACCATGTGAAGATTCTGGTATAACTTGACAGGTTTAAGAGCACTGGCCAGACCTGCCTGAAGTCATCAGCAATGTTAATTTTAAACTAAATTCTGAAGTGTCATTTTCACCAGAAAATATGCAAACCAAATCAGTAACAGCTTTTACACAAGCACCTATCAAAGTGCAAAAGAACACACCCCAAAATCAAAAGCCTCATAAATGCATTAAGCCTGACATAGCCGGTAAAAAAAGCAGGGATTCTCTTGGGATCAGTAAAACTGTTGCTGCAAGCTAAGCAAATGATAACTGAAACCAAGTATCTTTGCTGCAGCTAGTAGCTCTTTAAAGCTGGAGTAGATGCACACATTTAAGTGTAGCATTATGAAGAGCCAGAAAAGACACATATTTTCAAACTTCCTGAGCTAAGAACAGCAAAAACCCTTACAAAGAAATTAAACAGGAATAATCAAACACCACATAAAATCTGTACCCTCAAGAGGTCACCACTAGAGTGACTATCCAGGAGACCAATCACATGCACATGTAAAACTAGTTCTATATCACTAACTATGAGAAGATGGAATTGTGACCATATATTCATTATTACAATTTTCTTTCTGAGGAATATAATGCAGGATAGTTTTACAGCTTCAGAAAAACAAAGTCAGAATACTTGCATTAAGGGACTTCACCCACATCTCCACCCACCTTTTGTGCTGCAAAACGCCAAGTATTTTGCGAAGATCAGTAAAGTTAAGGCAATGTCATCAGCCTTTAAGAGAATCAAGGTGTATACCTAATAATTTGCAAAGTGCAAGGGAGAACACCAATTGATATAGTATCTCTCGAGGGATTTACTAAGCCAGAGTGGGGGGAGGAGGGGGAAAAGGGAACTGGGTCAGATGAATGTCAGAAAGCAATAGTTGACAACCAAACAAGTAACTGTTCACTGAGTAAAACTGACTCAAAATGTGAATGTGTATGTGTGGGAACCAAAACACAGTATCGCCAGTTAGCCAATACAAAAGGGATAACATCTGGCATTTCCTCTGCTAAGACAAAAATGTGGCACCAATATTTGTTTTCCAAATAAAAGTGGAGCAGTGGACTGTCAGCAGGCTATAGTTCAGATTTGAGGATTTCAAAACTCAAAAATCCCACGATATTTGTATAAAGTTATATTCATAAATTATCATATTTCTCTTAACTAGTAAAGGTTTTAAAACCATCATTTATTTAATCCCTAAATCTATCCATTAGAACAAAGGCAAAAGCAGGAGGAAGAAGGGGAAATACAAAATGGATCCTCAATAA